ACTGTGTCTCCCTACCCCCACTGTGTCTCCCCTCTCCCCACTGTCTCCCTACCCCACTGTGTTCCCCTACCCCACTGTGTCCCCCCTCCACCCACTCTGTCTCCCCTACCCCCAACCTGCCCCCCTTCTCTGCCCCCCCCCAACCCCACTGCGTCCATCATTGCTGTGTACACAATTTTTACTGCAAAGCAGAAAATTACGAATGCAATGTACAAGTTCGTACTGGTACATGTATAGGCTACAGTTTATCATCTTTATCTAATGGATGCCTGCCCTACTTAAAAATGCGACCTACAGTTTTATTACCCCGCTATCTTCTCACATATGACTATGATAAGAATTCAGGACACATATGGAAGGTTGACGAGATAGAAAAGCAGCCTGTCCAGTTAATATATATATATATATATATATATATATATATATATATATATATATATATATATATATATATATATATATATACCTGTATATATATATATATATATATATATAAGTAGCCTACATTTAATATAAGTGTAAAGACATCCCAAATATAATATACACTGTATACTTACTGTACTACATGTACCTTATTACCTGTTTCTTTGTTTTCCTTGTAGGCGCTATAGTTATCGTCTATCAGTGAATTTTAACCTTTTCAAATGCACACCTTTTCCGGAAATAATGAGCAAAAATAGCACTGGAAATCCCGCGCCAAATACGTAGAACTAGCAATATCTCGAAAGCATCGTGCATTGCGACCGGGCGCGAGCGTCTCGTTTCCATAACTCGCTCATACTCGCCCCATAGGCCTATAATACATTGTAGCCTCTATGTGATATCGCTATTCCCGATGTGCGATGCTATCGAGTGACGGGGCCCAGGGCTACAGGGTAAGCCAGACTCAGGGGCAGATCCAGGATTGTTTGAAGGGGTCCGTGGATGCGAAGTCCCCCTCCCCCCTTTCCGGGGCATGCTGAAGAAACCGTAAATATTGGCATTTTTTGCCACTTGGTACAGTTAAGAACTATGATTCCGCTATAGCCAAAATTCTAATTTCAAGAGGGGACCATTGGTGTGATTTTTTTCAAAAATTGAAGAGGGGTCAGGACCCCCCTGACATCCCCCTAAACCTTCCACTGTTTACCGTACAGGTAATTACCTTACAGGTAATTCGTCAAGGGGGTGGTTGGGGGGGGGGGGGGTACTCCCTTTCACTGCCCCCATTTAGGTGACAACCTTACGTAGCAGGCAAACATTAAATTGACTGTCTCTCCAGGGACGGATCCAAGGTTATTTGAATATGGGTCCGATTTTTTTAGGAATGACGTACAGGCCTCGGATAAGAAACCAATTCTCGTCCTACTTGGAGTGTTTTAGAGGGCAAACGGCGCCATTTGGTAGATACATGTAGATAGGATAGAGATCAATGAACATCCCCGCCTAATATCATTTTAAAGACTTTTAAGCAAAGAAAAAAGAAATATTATAGACGATCGACGCAGACTTTTCGATAATAACGAGTTATAAGTTGCTGTCAAAATCGATCACTAATTCTTAATTATACCAGAGTTTTATGCAAAAAGTGATTTGCTTGGACAAACGAGAGCCTGCATTCGTTTTCGGGGCCAGCTTGTTGTTGTGGTGAACTGACATGCGCCATCTGGGATCTGAACTCGTGACTTGTCGTTACCGTGGTTTGCTGATGTCTTGGTAATTTTTTCAACCAAGCACGCTACCGACTGCGCCGTTACTGAACCCGCCCACCATCCGTGCGTACGGGTTTCCTCTTATATTAATCAAACGCAATTTTTAGAGATTATTTCGAGGACAAAAATTTTACATTGAAAGTCTTAGGATTCGAACCTACGTATAAGAGTTTACCTGTGTCCAAGACGGCGGAGTTACAACGGAGCCACAGATGCTTCGTTGGCAGAGTATTGATCAAATGAAAACTTTCTACTTTATCACAGAGAAGACCAGTTTGGCTGTACATGTACATATCGACCATAACTCCCCTCAATACTGGGAGCCTGACATGACACCCAATGTTTTTTCATCGACAAGTTCTCCGCACCGTTGTTGCAATATACGGATTACGATAAAGAGGGCATTACAGTTGTCAACGTTATGGCTCTTTGGGACAGTATTCATTCTCATTCAGTTATCCAAGCCTTGGCATTTAACCTTTTTTTATATGGTCGGTAGAACAGGTAGGCAGCTTTCTGACTGCCCATAGTGAGAACATAGCGCCTCTCACCCAAACCCAATATACAGGTGCATTTCACACGCTGAAGTGTCCAATAATAATAATAATAATAATAATGAATTAAAGTTGTATTCAATTTTTTCAATTTTTAAAACATGTATGTGTATAGAACCAAAAGTCCACGACTGTGTGAATTTTAATTTAATTTTTAATTTTTACCTTGTCTTTACATTATGTAAAGAGCCCTAAATGGTAACGTTATGTTCCGGTAACGTAACGTTCCGGGTCATTTAATTTTATGATGATTGAATTTTCAAAGTGAGTAAAACGTTTCGCAGCTGGACGTTTTGAATTTGTGACAGTGAAGTATGTTCCTTTTTTGGGAGCTAGACGATGAATTATTATTATTATCATTATTTATTTATTCATTTATTTTTTTTTTGTTATTATTCATGATTCCAGGAGAGTGAAACTTTGATACAATTTTCTTAATGTTGGACCCTAAATTAATTAAACATGGTTTGCAATCTGTGCATTAAATATTTCAAGAGCATGCCTGTGACCTCATTTGCACCTTTATATTGGCTTGGGTGCTCTGTGTCAGATCAACTGGTTGTTCAGGTGTAGATCGCGACTCCTTTTCTCACCACAGTACTTCCAGGTTGCTGACTGAGACACGACTGCTCTACGCCTTTTGTGTGAGCTTAGTTCATGTACTTTGCTGGTCTCATCTATTAGCTGACGGAGGCTGCTTGATGAAGAAAATACAATTTGTAAAATGAAGTTTGATTTAGCTGCGAATCGCCATTTTAGTTGTTTAATTTCAAAATCAAATTTGAAGTTTCATATTTAAGTAAGTAGGCCTACCATCGGGCGAAAATTAAGTCTAAGCTCTTTATATGCAGTTTGTACAAGTTGGTATTACAATGTATATAACAACTGAATATATATAAACAGATACAGAAGGATCTTTGTGGTTTTGCTTGAAACGTACCGGTATATTAAATCGCTCAGTCTCATTGGATAAATGTCTCTTTGAAATCCTACCCAGGTAAAACACTACCACTGTAATTTTTTTCATTCAGCTTTATTCAACATAATCACTAAAATTTCACTAAAAATCTGCTGCAAAATTCAGTCCGAAAAATATTGATAAGATTGGTTTGCTTCTATTTGAAAAGGTGATCACAATTAGTTCAAATAGAGTAAGTGCTGGTCCGAATTAGTTATTTAAATTTGAATTAAAACAAGCGCAATGCTTCGTCCACAGAATGGCTCAGGTTTATATGAAGTCAATGTAGACTTAAACTTTGGTCTAAAAGGGGTCTGAGTCTCCTGAAGTAAGATAACCTTGATCCTTTATTTCTCTGCTCTAGATCTGCCTACACCATTCAAAGTTATATTATTGTATAACTTGGTTGTAACAATATATCAAAACTATGTACATTAATAGGTTGCACTGATTTTTTCTTTTAATCAAAAGGCCGACATACGTGTTACTGCTTTTTCTCTATAAATGGCAAATTTTATTAAAGATGAACTTCTAATTCCCCAATATATATAACATGATATGATATGACAAAAATATCAATATGTGTTCTTTGACTTAAAGAACAATGTGTGTTTTCAAGAATTGTACACGTGTAAATGTCCATGAAACCGTCTTCTTGATTAATGTATTTACATTTTGTCATCGATATTGATAAGTTTCCTGGGTTATTTACAGTAAACTATATACTACTGATTATTGAGTGTTGAGTGTATTATTGACTACAAGATCTTTGTTAATACAAAATAATTAACTCATTGACTCTACCTTTGAAGAGGTTACCCTTTACACTGATATTACTTCAGTTCGGTAGGCTATAATTCCACGAGATCAGTGATCTAGGTTGCGTTGTTTTCACTGAAGAAGTTCCGATAATTCACAGCGTACTCACTGTCTGTGCTTGGTATGAACCGTTTTCATGCAGTTACCCATGATGTTTTATAAACACATTCACTATTAGATGATTCTCAGTGATAAAGAAGCACATTTGAACATCGCTCATCTTAACGCATCCATCACAACCAGTATCACAACTACCGCAATCCATTCCGACATGCGTGTTGCGCCTGCGCCGCCCTTGCAATGACCGCTCACGCAAAACTTTGGACGCCGAGTTACCCGGAAGCTGTTCTCTGTCGTTGCATGCTCCTCTTTCGGTTGTTTTTTCGTAGTTTGCTTCTCTCTGGGCCTGGTGGTTTTTTGGACGATCTTCCGGGTGGTCTTTTTCGTTGTAGTCGTAGGTTCAGGTGTTGTCGTGACCGTGGTAAGGCCCGGATGTTTACCTGTGTGGGGGAAAAAGAGAATTTTATGTTCCAGATGTTGGTATCAGGGAGATATACAGTTTTTTTTTAGTGTTATTTGTTGTCGCTTTATAATTAAGGTTTAGAAGTTGGTTGATTTTTTTTATTGAGTTATGTTCCCGAATGTAAACAGCGGCGTCGAAACTATGTAGGCTATTTTGTGTCCGAGATCGAAATAAACAAGAAAGCCATACTGCGCTTACATGAGTATATGAACATATATGCTATAATCCTCACCTGTGAATATTTTTCCTTCGTAACAGTCTTTAACATTATCCTTATTGTCACACCCATTAATGGTAGGATTGAACCACGTGCCATTTGCGCAGGCCACCGTGGCCCGTATTCCTGAGAGACAGCGGTAATACACCGTGCAATCGGTCTCGTGTCTAAAGATGGGCTTCCCGAATGTGTCACACAGAACTGGACCAGGTGTGGTTTCAACCGTTGTGGTTGGCTCTGTAGTTGTTGTGGCAGGTGTTGTTGACTTTTCTTTCTCACCTGCAATGAAGGAGTGTGGTTTGAAAATGTGTAGTAAAATAGGCCTAAACATCACGAGTCTGAGACACGTGGGACCTACAACCTGCAAAACGTGAATGGATAGCACAGACTCCTTGCTGAGGAGTGCCGTTTCTGACTTTTATACTACATGTACGGTAGACGTGAAATAAAAAGGACCCGGGGTGGCGAACCTCGCATCAAAGAGTGACGATCCTACATGCGAGAATCACCAAGACTGGAACTCGTGTTCTCGTCATCTGCAGTGGCAGAAAATCTCAGTAAAACAATCATGTTCAACAAAACTTGTAGAAAGCACAGTTTTTTTTTTTTTTTTTTTTTTTTGGGGGGGGGGGGGGNTCAACAAAACTTGTAGAAAGCACAGGTTTTTTTTTTTTTTTTTTTTTTTGGGGGGGGGGGGGCGACACAGGGACTTCAAAGCCAGTTGGTCAGTTATAGGAGCTGTTACAGAACACTTGCTCACAGTATCCCAAGATTATTGTCCGGAAGATTTATAACTGGAGGAGCGTTTAGTGTGTACATCTACTCCTACTGAATATTCTTATAAAGTTGCTGAGCATACCATATATAAAAGAGAAAATAAAATGTAATTTGTTGAATATTAAGGATCTGGTCAAGGCAGAGAGGGCGGTATCTCTGCACACGACCGAGGGGGGGGGGGAATGAGGGTAACAGACCGCCCACTGTAAGTGATACGGTAGGTCGCACTTACCATAGAAGTATCCACGGTTGAGGTCCACGCTGCATTCTGGGTAATCTTTCAGGTGGGTGGTACACTTGCTGTACACGGAGATGGAACCCTCGGGGCAGGAGTTGGGGGTTCGGCGAACTTTGCCCTTAGAGCAGGTGTACCACTTGGTGCAATCATACGGATGCGGGACGAAGAAGATGTTCGGTTGCTTACACTGCAGTATAGGGACCCCGTTACGTTGACAAATGTCTCTGACGTTGCCCGGCGCGTCGCAGAACATCCCGGATGGGTTGAAGAAGCCGCCGTTCTGGCAGACGCCGACTCTGTGGTCGCCGTTGTAGCACTGGTGATAGAGGGAGCAGTTCCTGGGCTCGGCGTACCATCCGTCTCCAGCCTCGCTACAGTTTACAGGAGACAGGTAGACGCGAGGGTCAAAAGGAGGCTTCGTTGTTTTAGCTGCTGCCTGGGTAGTGAGATCTGAAAGAGTGAGAAAGAGAGACATTAATACGGTTGATTAATAAATAAATTGACCAATTCATGTATTAATTCATTATTTTAATCACTCACGCACATGTCTGTTTATGTGTTCATTTATCTATTCATTCATCTCTTTTTATAGTACCTTTTATCATACAGCGCAATGACGAAATTACTTAAAGGCCTGCAGACGTGTGTTCTTCTGAGGCGAATTTTTTTTTATATCCAGTCATATGTTTTTTTCCACTCACATGCCTGAATTTTTACAGTGTAGTGTCAGAGAAGAATTTCATCAGCTGTGTTATGTTATTAGAATGATTTTAAGTCAACGGCTAATATAGATAAGTCCTAAAGGCCATTCACATCAAGAAGACAGGGGCCAGTCTCAACAGAAATGATGGTGCCATCCTCCCTGACTTCTACCTCCCTTTCCTAAGACAATCTGTGTGTGTGTGGGGGGGGGGAGGCAAGTGGCAAGTACACCTCCTGAGTAAAGGCTATTCACCTGGATAGCCTCATTCCCTGATGAAGATGTCCTGCTAAACATCGAAATATTGTAGGTAAAATCTATCTTAATATTAGCTGTTGACTGAAGAAAAAATTACACCATTCTTAGTGAAGTGTGTTTTTATATAACCGACTTCTTGCCTGCCTCCCCCACCCCTCTAGACACCCTAGATCGCACGGTCATATCACAACACCCCTCACCTGGAGTCTCTTCACAGAAAAAGGTGTTACTCCTCAAGTCACACATTCCACCAGCGCCCCCTGTCGGGTTGAAAACAAGATCTCCCGCGCACTGCATTTCGAGTACCCTCCCACCGCTGAGACACTGAAAATAGGTGGCGCTGCATCCTGTGGGGTGGGGGAAGTTGCCAATCTTGCCCTTGCAGGCATATGGCGGCGTCGTTGTTGGGGCCGGAGTGGTAGTTGTCACCGCTAAGGTCGAAAAACAGAGAGAGAGAATACTATTAAACTCACTATTTTGATCCCATAAAGATGCATTTATACATGCATGGCATTGACAGAATGTTTCTTTCATTATGTTCGAATAAAAAAAAAACAGTGCATAAGCAAATACACATGTACTAGTACAATGCACCAATAGATATAAATTCATTTATATTTATATTAACAGTTCACATAGGTATATAGGTTGGTATCTTTGAAATACACAGCTGTTAAAATTAGTTGCTCTTCTTCTTCTTCTTCTTTATTATTATTATTATTATTATTATGATTATTATTATTATCATTATTATTATTATTATTATTATTGTAATTGATGTTGCTGACTTACACTCCCACCGTATCCCTGCTTCGTTACATTCATTCTTCATATTGGCTCTGGCAATGCAGTTCTTCCTGGTCTTACTGAACCAGTACGCGTCCCCCGGGCACTGCAGTATTGACGGCTTCCCCCGGGAACACAGGTAGAACGAGTTACAATACACGGGGTGAGGGAAGAAATCGGTCCCCACAGTCGGGCAGGTGAATTTGGCCTCGGTGGGTTTCGGGGTAGTGGTTGTGGTTGTCGTGGAAACGGTGGTAGTGGTCGTGGTAAATTGGCCGGAGATGGTGATTCGTGGTAATGGTGTCGCTGTTGTTGATGTCGTCAATTCGTAGCCGGCTGAAAAAAAGATCAAGTTTGTTATACAGTGCTGCCTGATGTTACATGGTTGTTTTCAATTCAATGTTATAAATCCTTAAGATATTTACATGAAAATGCAAACATATACAACTGTAAATCTTAATACGCATGAATGACAAAAGAAGCATATGCAAGTCTGTAAAATTACTGATGACTAAAGATCCACATTTATTTATCAATCGCATGAACATACTGAATAGAAGGGCATGAAAGTCTTGTGAGTGATTCCTAAACTTGCTCCAAACATGGGCTGATAAAACAACACTACCAAACTAATGGGTAATGGTGTTACTTACGCCAAGTTATCCTATCGCCCCATACAGCGCACTCATTCGTCGAGTTCCGGTAGGGGGCGCATCGCCCGTCTTTCTCACTGAAGTAAAGCCCGTTGCTGCAGATGGCCACGCTGGACCTCCCCGCAAAGCAGAGGAACATCCGGGTACAATCAGGGTGTCGGTAGGCGCTGAAGGACGCGTCAGGACACTTGAACCTCACCGGTGCTGTAAAGATCATTTTTTCTTGAGAACTACAGAAGTTGTCTTAACTACTCGTTTACCGTGAAAGTTTATTCTGTCAACAAATGAAATAAGAGATATTCTACAATATCTCAGTGCATGTCACATTTTTTTCAGAATGTTTTAGATAATAAAAACATGTATATTGAGAGAGGAAATGCAGATGACTAAAAATTCACAACTGATCGCCTGCTACTGGAGACAGTTGAATAAATAAATTAATAAGTAGGTTTGTTTGATAGGTGGGTAAATTGAACATTAAATAAATAACTGAATATCAGAGTAGTACTGAGCAGAAAGATAAGAGCCCTAAAGAACTGAAAAGAACAAAACTGAATTAAAACACAGCAAAAGCCTCTGACAAGGCAAATTGTTAATAACAGTTATCAATTTAAATCTCTTTCAAATACACGGAGGTCGGAGTTTACTTGAATTGAATTTTTCCCCTGGTCAGTCTATCTCTAAAAGTTCCATCAATTGTGTTAAGATCTTTATTTGGTCAGCCTACTGTAATTAATTTATCAACCCGTTGGCTGGCGGAAGTTATACAGGCCCGTAGCCAGGGGGTTCAGCGGGGAACGAAAGAGACCCCCTTTTTGCCGGTAAAGGTCCTCTCTTGGTAAAACTTTATCTTGGTACACGGAGGTTTCATGGCAAAGGGTTCACTTTTTCAGAAAAAAGCCCCCTTTTGAAAATGCTGGCTACGAGCCTGTTTATAAAATGAACATAAAAGAACAATCCTTGTCGTAAAACTTACGCGACACCCTCTTGCCAGTGTGAAGACACTGTGACCTCACATTCCCGGCGTTTTCACACTGACTTTTGTGTTTGTCATAGAAAGGTCTCATGAAAGGACACTGGTACGACTTCAGCAGCTTCCCGTTCACACAGTGGTAGAACCGGGTACAGTTATGGTGATCCATGTACAGGCCATTGGGCCAGCCTCCTTGGCACGTGAATTCAAAACCGCTCACCGGAAATGCTGCGGTTTCTCTTGGATCTTCTGCAATTGAAAAAATGATATTTTGATTTTTAATTAGTATATGGGGCTATTTTTAAGTGATACATGTATACGCACCATGCGTTACAGAGATCACCATTAGCAGAGGCGGCATGCTGACTGTAGAGCTCAGTTTGTAGTAAATTATGTAACGTAAGGAGTCATTGGAAACGGCAGAGGCTAACATGTAGAATTTTTAGTAGCAGCAAATAAGAAGATAATGCTATAATTCTTTCAAAATGGGATTTTGTAAAATTGATAATGTTAATGTAAAAGTTAGAAAAAATACTGTCATATTACTGACATCATGTAAACATATCTCAGAAAAATTATGTTAAAAATTCAAATGTAGATTTGTGGATACTCCCATGATTCTACGTGTTTAGTATTTGTAGGCCTATTCAGCACTTACTTGGTGGTTGTCCGGAACAGATAGCAATTACCGTCACCAGCACAAACACACTTAAGATCGTAGTAGTCTTGCTTGTCATCATGCGTATCTGGATACCTTAAAGTAATGATAAAACAGTTACCCGGTAAATGAAATAATAAATAAATCAGTGGCATAGATGAGCACATTTGTAACAAAACACTATGAAATGATAGAATTAAACAAGGAAAAATAGCGGATTGTAAAAATGTATGCTAAATAATTTCATCAGCTGTGTAATTCCATTGTACTGAATCATGTTTGTCTTGTCAAAATTAACAGCAATTTCATCGACGAGACGGGACCATGACAATTCAGAGAATACTTCACTACTTCCATTGGTTTCTGGAAACTGAGATAAACTACCGGATATCGAATCTGGGCCGTACATCGCTAATATTCACTAAGATCCGGAGAAGATGACAGAGAATGAATCAATGGGGACCAGCCACTGGGTCACAGGGGGACTCGCCAGTACATCGCAAAATACACAAAGAAACATCTCAACATCGACTTCCAAAGACGACTTCAATATACAGACATCTGATTATAGCCATCTATGCTACATTGTAAAGCGGAGAACGCACCACCCATCGCAACCAAAAAAAAAAAAAAATTCGCCAGCCCCAATATCTGTTGTAATCAACATACAAATATGAAATAAACAAACAGATAAACAAAATGTAAATAGCCAATACCCTCTTTAAGTTGAGATTTGTTTAAAACGACTGAGTCAGACAGGCCTCAACACTATTTTCCATGACGGAAATAGGGTAAACTGTATGAAGTCTATTTTGTCATACTGCATTAAGCCAAACTGTTGCGGTTCAGCACGCACGACTGAACTAGCTTTTTCACCCCACTGGTGTGGGTGAGCACAGGACAAAATGCGCACACCTTAGCGTACTCATGACTTACGAGTAATTACACGCACTATTTTTAGGATGTCGGATTTTTTAATAGTATGCTCCCAAAGGCCTGTCAAGTGCAATAACACTTTGAGAAGAATTTTGATAAAAGATTTATGTATTTGTATTAATGGAGAACGCCTAAGTTTCTTAATACCCTGACGTTATAAGAGAGATATAAAAGTCACCTGCACGTTATTGTTTTGTACTATTTTATTTTATTTTTATTTATCTATTTGATTTTTCTTAAACACGAGGTACTTAACCAATTTCCGTTTTAAGTGTGTTTTATTATACACAAACAATGGCTGGAAAAAAAACTTTATTATGGTTGTTATTTTTATCGTTATTATTATTATTATCGAAAGGTAATTTTATTTCTGAAGGTATTTGACAGTTTTTATGTTTTGCAGAGACTTTAGTGTATGACATGGAGTTTGGTTGGCCAAAGAAAATGACTTCTATGAAACTTCGTACAAATAATTATTTTAAAAAGTTTAATTAATACAACGCCTTTACAACTCTGGTACGAAAGATTCAGTTACATCATTGGCTTCATTCCGGAAAATTACCAAAATACACCAGGCTAGTTTAAAATGTACCATCCCTTTTATTATGAAAAAACAAAACACCTTTCGTATCTTAAATGAAGCTTGTATTACTTCTTTATTTAAAAATTAGTTAATAGGCCTACTGGCTACTTTCGTGTATTTATCAATATTAAGTAAATATTGTTTACTTATTTATTCATTTTTGTCCAGATAAGGTAGGTTAGTTAATCACTTATCTCTGGTAAAGATTGGTTACTTACTTACTTTTATTTAATAAAGATTGCTTAGACTAGGTATTTATTTATCTGTTGTGCAGATGGAATATTTACTCACTATAGACTCCCCATAGAGCAGTTGACACATTAGAACAAATAATATAATGTATCAACCTATGGTGACTGGTATACATAAATATTCGGCTGTCCATCCATCTATTTATCCAACCAATATGTCTGTTTGTCCGACTGTATGTCTCCCTTTTTATCTACCAAAGTGTTTAAAGGCAGTGCGCCAGCGTGTTGTAAGTGATACTATACAATATATACTGTACTGGGTGCAGTACACGTCGACTATTAGCACCAGTATACACCTTACATTTGAAAATGTTCATTTCCCCTCTTAAACTTCAGGTCAGAGTGCCAGAGTGTAAACAGTTTGATCCGGAAACACTGTCTTTTTGTGTATCAGGAACTTCGAGTTAAATACTTAAATTAAATCTCTATCTTTTACCAGGGACCAAAATGGCGGAGAGTTAAAATTATAATAAAGGGACGTGATAAAACTGGAAACTAGATTTTCAGAAGGAAGGCGTAAAGTTGAATTCATAATGCTTTCATAATCCAGTATACTGTATGATATCATTCTATATACAGTTGTATAAACAATAATAAGAGTACCAGTAGCTGTTATAATATATCAATTATATATCAATTATAAAAACTTAGCTATGTTAAGGGTAATAAAGGCATAACTTACCAAGTGAAAATACCACAGTTCTGAGCACGAGACACTACTGAAGGAGAGCCAAGGACAGAGTGTGGCATTAATGGCGAAGTCATGACTTTTTTTCTTAACTGAGATTCCAAAAGTTCTTGCACACATCTTCCACATACATGCACGACTGTGTATCCCTCTATATGAAATATCACAGAGGTGTCAATGATTTTGTTACACGATGTATACCAGCCACGAGATTTGCTTAATTGAAAACGTTCAGACATTCCACTTGGTTAAGATGTATTCAAATCAGCGCCTTAACTGCCATTATATGAGTCCCCCACCAATTAAAGTGTTTTAATGTCTTCCTTGCTGAGCATGATTCACTTTTATTGCTCTAATGTTCTCGAATTTTAAAAACACCGGTGTAACATTATTTTGGGGCTTTTATAATTTTATCCGCTGTGCCTGTGGACAATTTCCTTATAAAAATTGTGGGATGTTTCCAATACCATAAACGGCGTCCAGAATTTATCAAAGTGAACGGTATAACCATTTTGTGGTTTGAATTATATGCTTAGTAGGTTTCACGTCCCTTTAAAGATGGGATGGTGTTTTTATAAGACCTTAGTATCTTTTGAATAATTGTAAAAGAATGACGAGATCAGAAACATGGAGGAATATATATCCATTTTGATATAATCTGGTTAATATTAAGAGTTGTCATTAAAACGAGAGTTACAAACGAATCTTAAGAGCGACAACGCCTTCGACAGCAGTGATGGGTACTTATAATAATTTCTTAACAACAATGTGTAGAAAGTAAAACGTGAGTAGAAATTTATTGTCACATTAATAATAGAGACATTCTGAAATCTACGCATTTCCACATAGCTGTTGCATAACCTGTTACTCACTGACGACATCTCAATCTGGAAATTTACAAACATGAAAATATTGGACAGGTTTGACAATAATGTTATACCCACTCTACATCTCTTAATCCAAACATATCCAATACACCATAATACACGCTTATAAATACAAGTGACAAAATGACCAGTGACCAGTTTAAATGTTTATCCTACCTCCTGGCATTAAAATCGTGTATATCTTCCCTGCCTTACAATGACTGTCAACAGATTTGCCTGTAATCATTAACATGTTACTATGACGACGCTCACGTGAACCAGCCGAAGTCGGTCACAATTATCGGATAACGGACATTTTAAGTCTAGTATTTATATATATTCGAAACCTATGCAAATATTATCTCAACAAGTTTTCCCGTAGTCGTCATAACATTTTTTAAATTTATCTTTCAATCAACTGTATAGTCTCGACTGTATATGTACTCCTGCAAGCCATTAATCACAACCAGCAACTCTATTCTTATAAGTACATAGCTGCACGGTCTTGGGGTTGAAGTATAACTCCCCGCTGCATTGCAGCGTCACGACCCTCGTCCCTCCAAATATACACTGGTAGTAGGTCTGGCTGCAGCCGGACGCGTGGGGGAAGTAGCCGTCCTGGCCCTTACAGTCGTATGGAGGGGGAGTGGTCGGCCCGGGGGTGGTAGACTCAGTCGTTGTCGTGGCTGGAGAGATATGGGTGGGACAGATAAAAAGTGAGCTTCGACAGAATCCTGAGAGTGAGAAAGAGAGAGAGAAAAAGAGGGAGAGAGAGAGAGGGAGGAGGATGACGACAAGAAAGGAAGCCAGAGAGAAAGCTAGAGAGAAGGAGGGTTGGATGAATTAAAACAGAATACATAATCGTTAAACAGTATTGTTAGAAGGAAAGATTTAAGAAATGCACAAGGTCGTTTATCTATTTTGCTGCACTGTAGAATACATTAAAAAATTGGCAACTATTACAAAAAATTACAAATAAAATCATCGTAAGCATGTTACTGGGTGAAGACCTGTTACAAACAATACCAATATGCGTATCTTCATCAAACGTATATTATACTCACTGGGTGCCGAGCCATTACAGACTGGCGTCCACTCCTTGAGGTCACACTGCCCTCCCCACTCAGTGTCAGGGTTGAACACCAAGTCCCCCGGACAGGTCAGCTCGTTCACCCGCGTCCCGCCATATATACACTGGTAGTAGGTGCTACTGCAGCCTGTGGGGTGGGGGAAGTTACCGTCCTCCCCCTGGCAGTCGTAGATAGGGGGCGTGGTAGGACCGAGTGTGGTAGGGGGCGTGGTTGTAGTAGAAGGTATAACTTTAAAAAAGAAAAAAAAGAAAGAGATAAAAGAGAGATGAAAACTGAATATGACCCGTTTCACAAGTCGAAGTCGATCTCTCCGTGAAGAAGGCTATAAATTCAGTCCGAGAAATGTTTCTATACTGTAAAATGATATTTTGCGTTTCTTGCAATTGACATTCGTTCTTAAAGGGATAATAACTCTTCGTATGAGATCTATATTTCACAATAAAAACCTTGTGAATAACTCATAGAAATATGATATATTCTGTTTTACCACAAAAACAGCAGTTATAGCTTTTATTCTGATATTTGAACTTGTCTTTAGACCACGTGACCTCCATTGATGCCTATACTCTGTTAAAATCTCTTAAGAGATTTTAACAAAAAACTAAACTTTTTAGAAAAAAAACAGGGACTTACTTTGAATGTAAAAATGGATTCATTAACCATTGGTAAGTATGGGAAAAATGTTGTTTACTCCAGGAAAATTCATTTTTTGGCCGAAACGAAGAGTTATTATTGCTTTAACTTTCTCTTCACCGCTTACTCTCTTCGTGATAACAGTTATTTAACTGAAGATGTTAAAACTGATAACAAAATAAATAAATAAAAATAGATAAATAAATAATAAACAGATAACTTAAAAATTAAGTAAGATTTCATTGTACCGGTGCAAATGAATAATATGAGAAATAGGCCTGTATAAAGAGGAAGATGAGACTACCTTCCCATCGTAACCCTGATTCCAGCTCGCATTCATCTTTCAACTTCCCCTTCAGCACACAGGTCATCTTGCGCTTGCTGAACCAGTAGTTTTTATTGGGACACGGTCTGGCCCGGAACCTCCCCTTACGACATATCAGAAACTGGTCGCACTGTCTGGGATGGTGGTAAATGGCCGTCCTGCGGTTGGGGCATACAAATAACGGTGTGGTGGACTGGGGCACGGTGCTCTCCGTGGTCCCGGGGGTGGTGGTCGTGGTGGTATAGGGGGCAGCAGTGGTGGTCGTGGTAGAGGTGTACCCGGCTGTAACAAAAAGAGCAGTGAAATGAGCGAATTCCGCGAAGGAAATTTTTCAAAGTGACTCCTTATGATGAGATGTTAAAATGATTCAGAATATCCTGAATGCGTCCATACTTACGCCACGTGGTCCTGGCCCCCCACGGCGTACAGACATCCTTGGACTTCTCGTAAGGCGCACACCGTCCCGAGATCTCGTCGAACACCTGGCCGTTCGCGCACACCGCTTTGCTCTGGCGGCCAGAGAAACACAGTGTCATGTGCGTACAGTCTGGGTGTGCTCTACCGCCGCTCTTTCCCTTGGGACATTTCCAGTCTCGACTCAGTGGAGCTGGAAAACGTCAAGTTGTCTAAAATGGGGTAAGAGTAATCTGCCCGTACCGCTCGATAAATAAGGTAAACTGTACAATGAAATGAAATGAAACAATAATTGTTTAATTAACATTGCGTTTTATGACTGTGGCTAGATACATGTATTTTAAAGCTGGCATTGCATCAATCTGAGTTTAAGTTTGAGGCTGTCGATTATCTTACTGATGTCAATGAAATAAAATGTGATAAAAAACATAGGAATCAAAATTCGAACTAAGAATTTAGGGAAAAAAAGATTTTTAACGAAATCATCTATATATTTCTCTTCATATCCTCACGCCATGGCTGTCTTTTATGTTTGTCGCACTGTCCTCCTATCTCTCTTGCTGTGACACAGCTCTTCTTCAGCTTGTCGTAGTACACCCTCTCCTTGTTAGGGCAATGGAACGCCCCGCCGGGCTTGGACATCGTGCCGTTGGCGCAGATATAGAAGAAACGGCAGTCATTGTTATCGGCGTAGAACCCGTCGGGCCAGTCTTTGCAGTCATAGACGCGTAATGCATTCTTAACAGGATATGCCGAGATGTCTTTTGGTTTCAGGCCAGAGGGGGCCTGGGCAGAGACCAGGGTGTGGATCATCATGGCGACTGCAGCGATCCTTGCGATGATGACGCCCCCCATTTTCTATTAGTTGTGTTGGTCGACAGCTGATAGGCAGAAGAAAAAAATGAAAAATTAAGTAGAATACATCCTTAAAGAAGCAAACACATAAATATGATTTCCAGGTGCAAACAAAACTCAAAAAACGAATATGGCAAAATATCAGTGGTGAATACTTTCGTCAAACAGATAAAACAATCCTGAAAAAGGCTTATTTTATGGTTTCTAGATAGGATGATGGTTAGTCTTGACTAAGAGACTGAATAACGAGAGAGATCAAGGTGGTCCAAAGTCAGCACATTTTCTTTTCGACTTGTCCTTAGACATCGGTCAACATCTAAAGATAGGCAACCCAGTGGCGGATTTGGAGGGAGGGGGGGTCAGGAGGGTCTTCGCATCTGAAGTGTCCTCGCATCTGCACCCCCCCCCCCTTCAAAAAATCCTGGATCCGTTGATAATAATACCATGTTTGCAGACTGGAGATACGCGGGATAATACACATATGTACGGCCCACGACCTGTTGATTGTTATGGCATATATATACATTACAGCCAAACTGGCCCTCTCTGTGAGAAAGTAGAAAGTTTCCATTTGATCCGACCGCTTAAAACGTAGCTTCTGTGGCTCCGTGGTAACTCCCCCGTCTTGGAGACAGCTCGACGTTTGTACGTGGGTTCGATCCCTAAGGCTCGCTAAATGACTCTCTTTTGCTGGAAATAATTTCTGCAAATTGCCTTTGATAACTATAAGAAGAAACGAGTAGGTATGGACGCTGGGTGAGTCAGTCACGGCTCAGTCGATAGCGCTTAGCTTTAAAAAAGCCACCAGCAAACCATGTTTACGAAAAGTCACGAGATCAAATTCCAGCTGACGCATGCCAGCTCACCACATTGACGAGCTAGGCTCCGCAATCGAAAACGAATGTAGGCTCTCGTGTGTCCGAGGAAATTACCTCTTGCATAAAACGCCGGTATAGTTTAGAATTAGTGATCGATTTGAAAACAACTGATTGCTCGTCATTATCATAGAGTCTGCGTCGTCAATTATATTTCTTTTCTCTATGATTCAAAGTCTTTAAAATGATACTTTGGCGGGGATCTCTATCCTTTACCAGCTTCTCAACAGATCAAAATTGAATTGAGTCAATACCTTACCTGGCATGACGTCATGCATGTCATACAGCCCTTTCATAAAGAGGTTATCTGCTCGTTGGAATTATCAGTAAGAAAGTTTTTTTTTTCAAAAGTCACATAGCCGCTAATGCTTTACCTAATCATACATTTTGTTTTTATGCCCTGCTTATCAAGACTGTACATATATTCATACAGTACCCGGGGCAACTCCACAGTGGACGTTTGAAATGGCAAAGACTACTCAAAACTAAAACGGCTAATTAGTCAACCGCTTTGGGTCTCACCGTGCTCAATAACGGCACGTGAAGTCAAACATTAACTGAGTGTAAATCAAAATGAAAATAACAGCATCTGAAAGCATCTAACTAGGAACCTTCCGGGCAGGCTAAGGTAATAGACAGACCCAGAGTCAGCGAGAGTTATGTGGCGTACGCGAGTGCGTCATACAGTGGCGGATTTAGGGGGTTCTGAAAAAAAGAATACACTAATTTTCTTCTCTTGAAATTAGAATTTTAATTAACAGATTCATAGTTCTAAATCGCACTAAATGGCGCCGTTTGCCCTCTTAAATGCTCCAAGAGGCCTGAGGGTCGGCTTCTTATTAAAAAAAAGGGACCCACATTCAAATAATCATGGATCCGCCCCTGCGACCTCTCAGCTAGCCTTATATATATATATATATATATATATATATATATATATATATATATATATATATATATATATATATATATGCATCGCCCCTACCCCCCACTCCCCCACCACCACCACCCAACTTATTTCAACCAGGGCTCTCAAATGAGCGATCCCTAGATGTCGCATTAAGGCTGAAGATCACCGTTCACGTGACCAGTGAGCACAGCTGGTGGATCAAAACGTCTTGTACTGTATGCCTCTCGTCATTTAGTCTTAAGTCAAGAGTAATTCTGTTTTATATAGGTTTAACCCCCACCCCCACCCCAAACATATATTGTGTAATGAACAGGTCCTACTGTATGATATTTAACACAATTATCAATTGTAATATCTGTCAAAAAAGACGGATTTTGGCAGAATTGTATATAGAGAATGTCATCGCCAGCTAATACCTGTAATCTGTTGCACAACAATATCAAGATTTGACAGCAGATGGCCAGAATACTTGAGTTTAACGCAACATTAAGTTGACAAGACGCCTTTCTACTTCTTAAGTCAGGTTGAAACGAGTTCACTGATGTTAATAGCCATCCCATAGCCATCTCCATTGTATTAAGTGCATTTATGGCACAGAAAGCTTTTGAATATGTGGCTCCGACTTACATATATTAAACATACTAGGAAAAAGACATAAATCGTATATTCACTTTGTATACATATTTTTTCAGAAACTCAACGTCTACATACCTTTCCTGCAGTATGACCGTACAAGTCACTATCAAGGCTGCCTCCGTCTCAGGGTAAACAAGGTGAACTTTAAAGGGATAACAACTGTTCACTTTGGCCCCCCCAAAAAAGGATTTCCCTAGGGTAAAGGACAATATTCCCATACTTACAAATGGCTAATGAATCCATTCCCACTTTCAAAGTTAGTCCCGGTTTTGTTTTGTTTTTTGTTTTTTTTTTCTAAAAAGTTTGTTTTTTTGTTTTTTCTCTCTTAAGAGATTATTACACAGTGTAGCCATCTGGAGGTCACGTGATGTGATGGCAAACACAAAATCCAGAATAACTGCGTAAACCGCCGTTTTGGTGGCGAAATAGAATTTATTATATTTCTATGAGTTGTTTACTATGTATTTACTGTGAAAAATGGATATCTTACTAACAGTTGTTATCCCTTTAAGTCTGAGAACTAGTTTGTGGTGGGAACCCTCCCAGTTTCATGGGCTTGAAGCTGTCAGGTGTTATTCATACACCGCGACTAAATGGGCCATTGACTGACATTGTATAACCATTAGGTATACACTAAACTACCATACAGCGCCACACAGTTTTGATAACTTCATTATCCGAATTATTTTTGAGACACATCACGGCAGAATATAACAGTAGAATAAAAAAAATGCTGCTCGCCCCGCTTCGTGTAACTGCGCAGACTACAGATACATCCTTGCATTAACTAGTTTCTTGTGTAACAATTTTATTAATTAATTTCTTCTTTTTCTTTTCTTTTGGGAGATACAGAAAATATGTATTTACTCTGTTTAATGGTTGCATGATTAACTGTGAAACCTGCCCTCATCATTATAACAAAATAAAAGATCATATATTTTATTTTGTAATAAAATTAGAAAATTTCATTGAATATCATTGAACCAAAGGCCAAGTAAGCAATAAAATACGGGAACAGTAGAAGCTAGTCTTCTAAATCCAATTAGTACTCTATATTTTTCTTTGAGCCACCGTTCACTCTCTGAACAATCCTTTTTATCATTCATGCCAATGTCATTATCACTTTTGTGACGTCACAATCACTTTTGTAATTGTCAGCTTAATACAACAATATCGCTTCCACGGCACTGTGCAATTTCCACGAAGCGGACTGTGACGTTAGCGACTTTTTAGTGTGACGTCATGGACGTCGCTAAGAGACGTCAGCCAGATGTCCTAGGTGCAAACATAGCCAGCAACCATATGTAACAACCTTAAGCGCAATGGACGGGGAACGTATTACCGAAACTAACGAGGAAGGCGGGCTAGATTATGAACTGTGGACCAAGGAAAATGGGCCCAAATATATGTCAGAATTAAGTTTGGAAGAGCGTCCTACCAGCGCATACGAAGACGGCTACTACTATTACCAATCTCATGAGTACAAAGAAAGAAGTAGAAAATCAAAACGTCAGAAAACTGTGAGATTTTCCAACAAGATCGAAATAGTCCGCCGTAGGGAGCCAGTGCTCAGTATCCGCACCCAGGCGCTGCCGCCTCCAATGCCGAGCGAGTGGGACATCAGGTATCTGATCAACAACCCCAATCTCAGCGATACTCAGAAAGATAACTGGAGGAAGGAGCTCCTTGATAAATTAACTGCAGACGACAACGGTATTNAGTCTCGACTGTATAGTTTCAATGTACTCCTGCAAGCCATTAATCACAACCAGCAACTCTATTCTTATAAGTACATAGCTGCACGGTCTTGGGGTTGAAGTATAACTCCCCGCTGCATTGCAGCGTCACGACCCTCGTCCCTCCAAATATACACTGGTAGTAGGTCTGGCTGCAGCCGGACGCGTGGGGGAAGTAGCCGTCCTGGCCCTTACAGTCGTATGGAGGGGGAGTGGTCGGCCCGGGGGTGGTAGACTCAGTCGTTGTCGTGGCTGGAGAGATATGGGTGGGACAGATAAAAAGTGAGCTTCGACAGAATCCTGAGAGTGAGAAAGAGAGAGAGAAAAAGAGGGAGAGAGAGAGAGAGAGAGGGAGGAGGATGACGACAAGAAAGGAAGCCAGAGAGAAAGCTAGAGATAAGGAGGGTTGGATGAATTAAAACAGAATACATAATCGTTAAACAGTATTGTTAGAAGGAAAGATTTAAGAAATGCACAAGGTCGTTTATCTATTTTGCTGCACTGTAGAATACATTAAAAAATTGGCAACTATTACAAAAAGTTACAAATAAAATCATCGTAAGCATGTTACTGGGTGAAGACCTGTTACAGACAATACCAATATGCGTATCTTCATCAAACGTATATTATACTCACTGGGTGCCGAGCCATTACAGACTGGCGTCCACTCCTTGAGGTCACACTGCCCTCCCCACTCAGTGTCAGGGTTGAACACCAAGTCCCCGGGACAGGTCAGCTCGTTCACCCGCGTCCCGCCATATATACACTGGTAGTAGGTGCTACTGCAGCCCGTGGGGTGGGGGAAGTTACCGTCCTCCCCCTGGCAGTCGTAGATAGGGGGCGTGGTAGGACCGGGAGTTGTTGGGGGCGTGGTCGTGGTAGAAGGTATAACTTTAAAAAAGAACAAAAAATAAAAGAAAGTTTAAAACTGAATATGACCCCGTTTTCACATGTCGAAATCGGCCTCTCCGTAAAGAAGGATATAAAGTCTAACAAATATTCAGTCCGATTTATGTGTTTCTATACTGTAAAAGGACATTTTGTGTTTCTTGCAATTGGCATTCGATTTTAACTTGTTGCCGCTTACTCTCTTTGTGATTGCAGTCATTTAACTGAAGATGGTGAAACTGATAACAAACTAAATAAATAATGAATAGATAACTTAAAAAGTAAATAAGATTTCACTGTATATATATGAATAATATGAAAAATAGGCCTATATAAAGACGAAGTTTAGACTACCTTCCCATCGTAACCCTGATTCCAGCTCGCATTCATCTTTCAATTTCCCCTTCAGCACACAGGTCATCTGGCGCTTGCTGAACCAGTAGTTTTTATTGGGACAAGGTCTGGCCCGGAACCTCCCGTTACGACATATCAGAAACTGGTCGCACTGTCTGGGATGGTGGTAAATGGCCGTCCTGCGGTTGGGGCACACAAATAACGGCGTGGTGGACTGGGGCACGGTGCTCTCCGTGGTCCCGGGGGTGGTGGTCGTAGTGGTATAGGGGGCAGCAGTGGTGGTCGTGGTAGAGGTGTACCCGGCTGTAACAAACAGAGCAGTGAAATGAGCGAATTCCGTGAAGGAGTTTTTTCAAAGTAACTTTTCAAAATTCACTAAAAATTTAGTTGGTTAAACGTCGTGTCACACCGGATGACCGGATGGACTTGAGGTAATAGCATTCGCCTAAGGAAAGGGAGGAAAAGGGTTCGATCCCGATTCCCGCTCCAAGGACATACCAGTTCTTGACAAATAGGTAGGTCTACATGTACCTGCTTTCTAATTGCTAAATGCAATCATGCAGATTCTAGAAGGGGAAAGTACCTGGTCTGTGGGTGTAAGGTATACAATATCGCGGTTATCTGCCAAATAAAATTTCCTTTCACATGCACCCATTAAAAAAACCAACTGAAAACACCAGAGCGGTACGTAGTTTTACAGTCATGTTGGAACTACCTGGTACTAGTATGCTGCTGCCGGAGAATCGCTGGGGTGACAAGAATCTCCTGATGATGAGATGTTAAAATGATTCAGAATATCCTGAATGCGTTCATACTTACGCCACGTAATCCTTGCCCCCCACGGCGTACAGACATCCTTGGACTTCTCGTAAGGCGCACACCGTCCCGAGATCTCGTCGAAAACCTGGCCGTTCGCGCACACCGCTTTGCTCTGGCGGCCGGAGAAACATAACGTCATGTGAGTACAGTCCGGGTGTGCTCTACCGCCGCTCTTTCCCTTGGGACATTTCCAGTCTCGACTCAATGGAGCTGGAAAACGTCAAGTTGGCTAAAATGGGGTAAGAGTAATCTGCCCGAACCGCTCGATAGATAAGATAAACTGTACAATGAAATTAAACGAAACAATAATTGTTTAATTAACATTGTGTTTTATGACTGTGGTTAGATATTTTAAAGCTGGCATTGCATCAGTCTGAGTTTAAGTTTAAGGCTGTCGTTTATCTTACTGATGTCAATGAAATAGCAACGTGATAAAAACATAGGAATCAAAATTCGAACTAAGAATTTAGAGAAAAAAATTTTTTTAACGAAATCATCTATATTTTCTCCTTCATATCCTCACGCCATGGCTGTCGTTTATGTTTGTCGCATTGTCTTCCTATTTCTCTTGCTGTCACACAGCTCTTCTTCAGCTTGTCGTAGTACACCCTCTCCTTGTTAGGGCAGTGGAACGCCCCGCCGGGCTTGGACGTCGTGCCGTTGGCGCAGATGTAGAAGAAACGGCAGTCATTGTTATCGGCGTAGAACCCGTCGGGCCAGTCTTTGCAGTCATAGACGCGTAATGCATTCTTAACAGGATACGCCGAGATGTCTTTTGGTTTCAAGCCAGAGGGGGCCTGGGCAGAGACCAGGGTGTGGATCATCATAGCGACTGCAGCGATCCTAGCGATGATGACGCCCCCCATTTTCTATCAGTTGCGTTGGTCGACAACTGATAGGCAGAAGAAAAAAAATGAAAAATTAAGTAGAATACAGCCTAAAAGAAGCAAACACATAAACATGATTTTCAGGTGCAAACAAAACTCAAAAAGCGAATATGGCAAAATATCAGTGGTGAATACTTTCGTCAAACAGATAAAACAATCCTGAAAAAGGCTTATTTTATAGTTTCTAGATAGTATGATGGTTAGTCTTGACTAAGAGACTGAATAACAAGAGAGATTAGGTGGTCCAAAGTCAGCATATTTCTTTTCGACTTGTCCTTAGACATCGGTCAACATCTAAAGATAGGCAACCCAGTGACGGATTTGGGGGGGGGGGGGGGGGGTCAGGGGGGTTTTCGCCTTTTAAGTGCCCCCGAATCTGCCCCCCCCCCCCTTTCAAAAAA